TGCAGTGTTTGTGTGTGTCTATGGGTATATCTAACGTTACGTTACATTCAGTTGTGGAAAGTAACTGAGTACATTTACCAAAGTATTGTAATTTTTCTGACATATTTGTACTTTACTTGAGTATTTCGATTTCATGCTACTTTATACTTCTAATGTTGTACATTTCAGAGGCAAATATTGTACTTTTTTCTGAACACTCAAATTATTTCTTTACATAATACAAACACACGATATGCTGGTATGGTATAATGCAATACTGTGCTTTATCTACACAGTATTTAAAGTTTCTATATTTGGTCCACAATGACCAACCATAATACTTAAAGGCGCTTATATGTATAAAAACAGGATAAAATAATAAACCTTATAATATCTATTCTGCATAACGAGTTTTTACTTTTGATACTTGAAGCTCATTTCGCCTATAATATTGCTGTACCTTTGAAATAACTTTTGCACTTTTACTTAAGTAAAGGATCTGAGTACCGAGTAAGTGAGAGACTACATACTCTATCAGGCTGTATTGATACTGGTATCATTACATTTTTACATTACATTTCATTTAGCTGACGCTTTTATCCAAAGCGACTTACAATTACCAATCACAGGGACATTCTCCCTGGAGTAACTAAGGACTAAGTGCCTTACTCAAAGGCACACTAGTGGTGGTGTTCCTGGCGGGATTTGAACTCACAACCTTCCGATCTTCAGCCCACCTCACTATCCATTGGACCACCACTATCCACTATCAGACACTTCTCCAAAACCTGTAAAGCAGGATGTTCAGGATGTCGGATCTCTCTCATGGAAACAAATGAGTGTACCCCAACCAGTTGGACACAAAAAAAAACCCTACTAATTTCTGGTTATTCCGCTTGAGATTTCTTAGCATTCAGATACATTTTAATATGGTAGGTTTTGCTTTGCCTCTGTGGCAAGTTAGTATGACGGATAACTTCTCCCTAACTTTAGCATGAGCAGTGCAAAAGTGCCATTAGTACACTCATGAACTGTCACAAAAGTCTGTCATTGTTTAATAGTTTTCTTTTCAATGTTGCAGCTCACTATTTCCCAAGAAAGGAGCTGAAGAAGTCCCAACACAATGTCCGTGGCTGTGGAAACCTCAGTGTCCAGGATGTCTCTCCCTGTCCCCACCCACTTCTCCCATGCAGAGCAAACCTTCTCCCTCAAAAAACGCCATCTCCCTTTTTCCTCCTCGTCCAATTCCAACTCATCCTACTGTTCCCCTTCCCATCTCTCACACTCTCTGCCCCCGCTGCCGCCGTCCAAGGGATGTCCCCCCCTGAGCAGGATGTTCCCCCAGCAGCCCACCCCCTGGACCCCTCTGTCAGGTTCCCTTAGCAAGACTCCCCCTCCGAATGCTGTTTATGATCCCAGCAAACAGCAGTCCTATTTCGATCAATGCTACACTAATTTGGGCCTGCTGGGACGAGGATCTTTCGGAGAGGTCTACAAGGTGAGTAACATTTGTGTGTATATGTTTATAACATTGGGAAATGCTTATACTGAATGATGTTTCATAACTCTTTGAAAAAAGGAAAGACTGCATTTTAGGGAATCATTTTGTGAGGAAGTTGCCTTTAGATACTCAAGTTTAAGACAGTAGACAATAGAGGCAATATAAGGGGACATCTAAGGTGAGGAATGAACGGTCTAATATGAAGATCACAATCTTGTCTGTTTCAACATCTGTGCTGTGTTTTTTTTCTCACAGCAAATTAGGGCTGCTCGATTATAGCAAAAATCATAATCTCGATTATTTGGGTCAATAATTGTAATTGCGATTATTCATTGACTTTGAAAACATCCATTTATTGGAGAAAAAAAAATGGCACAGTATGTTTTTAACAGTTGATTACCCTGAACTTTAAGTATAATTCAACTGAAAAACCAAAAAAGAATATTATAAATAAAATAAATAGTAATAATAAAACAATAATCGTTTTATTTCGATTACGTTGTTTTCGTAATCGTTGCAAGCCGTAATCGCGATTTAAAATACGATTAATTGAACAGCCCTACAGCAAATACACATTTTAATATCCCTGTAACCCTTACATTCTCACCATGATTATCATTTGGAGATTCCCAGAAGAGAAGTCAAGTCCTCAGCATTTCCTCTATTTTTCTAGGTGAAAAGCAACTTGGACGGTCGCCAGTATGCAGTCAAGCGCTCTGCTCACCGCTTCAGGGGCAACAGTGAGAGGAGCCGGAGCACGAGGGAAGCCAAGAACCACGAGCGCCTCTGTCCTCACCCTCACATCCTGGATTTTGTGGCAGCGTGGGAAGAATGTGGCCGACTGTACATCCAGACAGAGCTCTGCAGCACCAGCCTGCTGCTCCATGCTGAGAACCAGCCTCCTGGACCAGGTCTGAAAGTGAAAATACAACCTATTCAAATGTCCTAATATCTATGTATTTCCTTTTTCAGAAAATTCTCAAATCCACAGATAAATTGACGGTTGTCCTAACATTTCTAATATCCAGATGAGCCTGCAGCATGGGCCTACCTGTGCGACCTCCTCTCAGCTCTGCAGCACTTGCACTCTCTTGATTTTGTGCATCTGGACCTCAAGCCCGCCAATGTCCTCATCACTGACTCGGGCCGCCTTAAGCTGGCGGACTTCGGGCTGCTGTTTGAGCTCAAAAAGAAGAGCACAGGGTCTTTAGAGGGGAAAGGGAAAGATGACATCCAGGAGGGGGATCCCAGATACATGGCCCCTGAGCTGCTGCGGGGGGAGTATGGGCCAGCTGCAGATGTTTTCAGGTACAAAAGACATACATGAGTAAAATAATATACTTAAATCTGTAAAAAGATGATTTAACTTAATATTGTTGAATCCTTCTCATGTAGTTTGGGTGTTTCTATTCTGGAGCTGGCCTGTAATATGGAAGTTCCCAATGGAGGAGAGGGCTGGCAACAGCTCAGGCAAGGCTGCCTCCCCTCAGAGTTCACCAGTGGTAAGATCCACTCTGTGTAAGGTCTTTATAAACAATTGCATTATCTTTATTTCAATTCTTACTATGTCCATCTGTATCTGCAGGCCTGTCAGCTGAGCTTCAGGCAGTGCTGCGGATGATGTTGGCCCCGGAGCCCTCTGAGAGGCTGACAGTCTCTGAGCTCCTGTCTCTCCCCTCTGTGAGAAAGCACAGGTGGAGGAGGCGCATCTATCTCGTGGTGGCAGAGACCACGCTGACACTGCTCTCCTTCTGTCAGGTAATGTGTCCATGCTAAACACAGCGGCTATAAAGCTATATGGATTATTAATCCGTTTTGGGGACTCATTTTAGTCCCAAAGGCATCTACAGTTTGTTTTTATTTATTACATATAAAACACATATTGCAAACATGAAATAACAGTTTTCTTAAATGGTGTTTTTCTGGTCTTTTTCTCATAGTTGGCGGTGTGCTTTGGGTGCAGACTGCTGTCCTCACTTCACTTGTCCTTTCTGCCTCACTGGTCAAAGCCGGTTCCCAGCACTCCTCCTAAGGGGAGTTGGGACAAAGATCTGACTCTGCCGCTCAGTGCCATGCATGCTGACTCCGGGAGTCCAGAGGACGATGCAGTGTTCCTGTTGGATCAAACCGACGTGGAGCTCTCCCCCACCTTCTCACACAGGTAGAGAATCAAAGTCTGGTTTTTGTGTATATCTTAGAAATGCACCGATCAATCTTCCATTTTTCAATCTCATACATCCGTGTTGCACACATATGTTTCATATGATGCGTTTATGAAGCACATAGCAACACAGACAGCGATGTTAAATCACAGAAACACATATATCTTTATGTTGTCAGTGTCAAGTTTTAACAGCTGAATTGTAATTTTTGAAGAAATGTATATACTGTCTATCATACTTCATAATACTTTATAAAGAAAACTGGGAAATGCAAAAATCTGACACAACAGGTCAGACATTTGAAAAGCCTAGAAGACTGCAATCAGTACATCTCAAAAAAACTGTGGTTACTATCCCTCAGTCTGTCTTGACCTGAGTTTGTAATTCCTGTCCTAGCTTGATTTGTATTATTTCCCCCCACTCCACAGGGTAACATCTAGACTGTCTTTGGACAGCACATCCACTCCTCTGCCAAAATCCCTGAGACACAGCCATCGAAGTCCTGCCCACACCCCCACTCACTCGAACCTGGGGGATTGGTCCTCCTGTAACCTGGCGCAGGCCCCCTTCAGCATCCACTCCAATGGTTCCTGCCACACACTGACACCCAGCATTAGCCCTTTACACATAGAGCTTTTTGCAGATAGCATGAATGAAAAGTCGACACAGAGCCCACACTCTGTAGCCAACAAGTCCTTGCAGCGACGCAGCTGGATCCGCACAGAGGAGGCTTTACCCCGACCCAACTTTGAACCAAAGAACCTGCTCAGTCTGTTTGAGGACACAACTGTAGAGCCATGATCAAAACACTGCCAGTTTACTTTTAGGGGTAAAGGTGTTTTCACTTTAAAATGTTATGTCAAACGGAAGTTGTGTTTGAATGTACTGCCATTACACTTAAGTCTTACAACAGCTTCTTTTAACGTGTACTTGAAAAAAAGGGTTGAATGTATAATCAGACCTTCAAAGCACTTTTTATGTTTGTGTAAAGGATAATCTGTTGCTGGAATGACAAGTCAGGAAGTATTGTGAATATAAGTTATCATTAGCTTGATGTACTCTGAGTCATTTACCTCATGAGTCAGAACATAATTAAAAAAAAGAGCGAAACGTAATTTAAATTCTGTGTGCCGTGTGTGTTTGTTTTTAGATAGCTCAACACGTGTTTCCCTCAGTAACAGACAGTGATGGGATATAAATAAGAAAAAAGCAGATAGATGAATGTACCGCAGATGCACTCTGGATGTTTGCGTACTCACCAGTAGATGGCAGTATCGCACTTCCCGCTGGATGCGAGTTCCCTTAAAAACCGAGGAAGGGAATGCACTGCATGACCTTTGTACGTTCTTATTATACATCCATGCTTTGTACACGATACACTCATCTATGGACATATTTACTTTTACCAAACGTTTTTTTTTAGATTTACTACACTCTCCGACCCTTTTATATTGTGGAAAAGCTACATCGACACTGCCAAATGGACTTCCGGTCAGCCCTTTCCTGAAAGAGGAATTTCCGCCGAAGTCTGAATGTAAACAATGAGCGCTCTCCTCTGGATTACTACTAGATAACCTGGGAATCACGAAATACTGCAACAATATTAAACCCGATTACATTAGGTTAAAGGTATGCTGCTTTTTCTTTTATTAATACATGGTTAACATTATACGTTATAGGATCACGTGACGCATTCACTGATCTGTTTCTTCTTTTCGGTCCTAAGGACCAGCCAATAAAGATGTCCGACATTGACTGTCTGAATGCCCGAGTGGAGAAGCTGCTGTGTGAAGCGGTGCAGGAGGTTCTGGAGGTGGTGAAGGAGACGGTGTCAGAGTACCAGGAGAAAACTGCCAGAACACAGAGAGAGAACGAGAGCCTGAAGAGGAAGCTGCAGGAGCTCCAGGAGAAGTTACACCTGGAAAGCAATGGTATATTCAATATCAGGGTCAAGGAATATTGAACTTGTTTGATACAATTGTTGACTGATTTTGTCTTTTTTGTGCTTTGTCAACTTTGATTTATGCAGGAACAGTGGCACAACTTTCCCATAGGCCTCTGATCGAGCAGAGACAGAAAGAAAAGTTGGTAGAGGACTTTGAACTCATCACATTTGATAAGGACATTGCTGTAATCTCTCCTTCGTATTCCTTTGAAGACCTTGACAGTGAAGCATCGTTAGCTGCTCCATGTCTCTCCCCTGGAGCCAAGACACACGCTCATTTAGGTGGTGACGACCTGAACAATTTAAGAGCTCTTCTAACAGAAACTAATAATAGACTGGCAATTTCAAACCATGTAGATCTTAGTGAAAACCAACACAAAATGAAAAGAGAGCCTACATCGGATGAAGACGCAATACACACCACAAATTGCTTTTATGATGATGCAGGTACAAGCACTGCATCCTCACACAGACTACATTCAGAACATCCTCAAGGCCATTCAGTCTCCAGTTTGGAGCAAAATGGCACATCAGAGCCACCATCCCAAAGAGACGACAATACAAACAGTGTTAGTGCAAAACAACAACACACCAATCACACAATAGCAGTCCCTTCAGGCTCAAGAGTGTTCCAGAGAAATGACAGAAAACATTACTCCTGCTTGCTCTGTGGTCGCACGTTCAGACACGCGGGTGACTACAAGAAACACAACAGGGTGCACACGGGGGAGAAGCCGTACTGCTGCTCGGTGTGCGGGAAACGCTTCAGTCAGTCCGGCTACCTGACCGTGCATCAGCGCTTCCACACAGGAGAGAAGCCGTTCGCCTGCACTCACTGTGACAAAAGCTTTAGTCACTCTAGTAACCTGAAGAAACACCAGCAAACTCATCTGTGAGGCTGCTATTACCAGACTTTCTTCAAACATAGGTTTTTATAATTTAGAGCTGGACAATAAGAAAGTGTTTCTGTAGAAAGAGTGTTAAATAGAAGTATGTTTGTGCCTCCTTTACAAAGACATGTATCTTATTGTTGTACAATAGGGCCTATGTCAACTTTGAAGTATCAAACACACTTTCTTATTTCCTACAATTCCTGCCATGCTGCTGTTTGTCTCATTTCCAAATCAAATGAAAGTATGGTTCTTCTTGGTGAAGTGTTGTGTATTGCCAATACAATTACTTTATAATGATCCAAAAAATCTGAATCCCTCAAGTAAAACCAAACATTGTTAACCTAAAAACTAGATTTAGCATGCTCGCAAGCTACTGATGTTTATTGTTTACAGTCATACTACTGTAATGTAATGTACAGTTTAGTTTGCTCTACTTCAACATGTTGTTCTCAGGTTTTGTTGTGACTGATAGGAGTGCTTTTTTTAAACGTGTATACTTGTTTTATTGGCTGAATGATCGATGTAACAGGACATAATAAAGATTTGTATCTGAGTTGATTGAATAATTCAATATAAGGTGAATTGCTCGAGGCCAGATTTCAAGTTAACAAGATTTATTAGTGGTGTGCAAATTAATAAATGTATATAACTCGGCATTTTATTTTGAAAATCACCTCACATCGGATGTAATTCATCGCTTCCGGAAGTAGCGAGTTATCGCATTGTTATGTTTCTTTCAGATTGGTGCCTTCTAGTATTGTTGACAATGTTCGTTTAATTTTTATTACAAGTTAACTTGTCTGGAAATAACCTACACGTTTTGCTAACACAGTAACCACATGACGTGTTTTTTGGAAGGGAAAACGATAGAGGAATCGTACGGAGCTAATGTAGCTAACGTTAGCTACCTGACAACGACTAGCCTCAGGTACAGCTTCCTAAACATAAGCTTAACTAGGGAACGGAAAGTGGCTTAAATGTTTATTAACACGTGTTGCAATATCTCTGCATTAATTTACATTTAAGATAAACTTCAAACTCTTATTAACTACTGTTGAACTAAACAGTACTGACTGAGTGTAACTTGGCAAACATTTCACTGTGATTAATATAATGTTTCAGCACCAGCCTACAAATAAACTGCACAAATGTACCACTAAACTATCTATAATTCAACAACTTAACCATTTATGTAAATAGTTTGAAACCTTACAAAAATAGGCCAAAATAGTACAAACGAAAATAAAAGTGTGTTATCAAGAGTAACATGTATTAGCTATACGCAGCATTTTCACAACATAGCATATTGGTATATTTAGAAATATGTTGTGTTTCTCTGGTTTAATACACCAATACAGTTGACAAGTATATCATTTGGAGCTGTAGGAAGGAGAGTTGTTACACAGCAGGGCTTGTGAAACAGTTCTTATACATTATTTAGCTAAATGAGTTGTGAACACATGGCTCCTTTTGCAAGGGATTATGCATTAGCAGTCCTTTCTTACCATGAGTCTTTTCTAGTTTCAGGATGTCTAAGCTTGAACGTCTAAACGCTCGTGTGGCCAAGCTCCTGACTGAAGCGGTGCAGGAGGTTCTGGAGGTGGTGAAGGAGACGGTGTCAGAGTTCCAAGAGAAAACTGCCAGAACACAGAGAGAGAACGAGAGCCTGAAGAGGAAGCTGCAGGAGCTCCAGGAGACCATAACAAAAGAGAGAATAGGTTGGATTTCCTTGAATTGTTATAGACGCATTCATATTTCACTGGTTTCATTGTAAAGTAATTGATGAGTTATTTATATAAATAATAACAGTGTTTTCTTGTGTGCTGATTTCCTAGATGTCTTACCTACAAGTTGTCCGTTGCCTGAAGAAAAAGAAGACGCTCAAAATCAAAAGCAGGATTTGGGGCTTTCTTTGAGGCAGGACTCAGACCCACCTCTCGTAGAGCAAAAACAGATAATCGTCCACACAAATGAACAAAATGTGAAGCAGGAATCGCAACAACAGGAGAGCTACGACAACACTGAATTACAAACTGAATCCAACTCAATGCAAACAACAGAACATTGCCTAGTACAACCAGAGGAGGTGGCACACATTATTGAGGAAGCAGTGACTGTTCAGACATTGCACAATGAAAACGGAGACCTCAATGCAGTCATATCCTATAACGTGTGCACCCCTCACTCCAGCACTTCACTCGAGGCAAACCTGGCAGTTATCAAAAGAGAGTTAGAACTAACAGAGTGCACAACAACAGAACCACCATCTCTTCCAGAACAACATAGTGGTGTGGATTTAAGCTGCAACTCTTCTCGCCAGAACTCTGCTGAAACGCACCGGCCACAAGCTAGTGCTGAAACTAAAGGACACGTCTTTGTCCACTCAAATCATGCCATACAAAGGAGGCATGGCTTCGCAAAACCCAACAGGGGTGCGTTCGATGGGAGAAAAAGCCGCATGGAGCACTTCAGGGGAGAAGAATCCCACCTGTGTGTTGTGTGTGGAAAGACATTCAGCAGAGTGGGGAACTTGAGAATCCACCAGCGGTGTCATACGGGAGAGAAGCCGTATGGGTGCATTCAGTGTGGGAGACGTTTCAGTCAGGCGGGAGACCTGAAAAAACACAAGAGGGTCCACACGGGGGAGAAACCGTACTACTGCAGCCAGTGTGGGAAGAGCTTCAGCCGGGGGGAGAATCTGAAAAGACATCAGAAGATCCACATTGGAGAGATACTACAGTTACAGCAAGTGTGGAGGGAGCAACAGCAATGATTTGTATATAAGACTTCAATGAGCACGCTTACCATGTAGAACTCATTAAGAAGCCACTTTTAAATCTTTTTGCTATCATGATGATACAGCTTTACAGATAGAGATGCACTGATATAATTATTAATAATGCAATCGAGACAGCTTGGACCTAAAGCAACTACTAAATGTAAGCAACACTAAATATAGAAAATGTTGTATATTATGACACTTTTGGCATTATGATCATACTTTGTACACAGGGCAATTATACCAATATGACAATTATTGTACACGTGGCAATGCTGAGAAGAACAAAACCCCAAAGGGCAGGTTCAATCTTATAAGATGACAATGTGTTGTTAAGTGTCACACCTCTTTTACTTGTGCACAGAAGGAGTTGTCTCATGTCAGATTAATGCTAAAGACAATTGTTGATACTTTTTATTCAAATCTGTTGTCATTTAATTTGCCTGGTTTTATAGAATGATGGACACTTGTTGTGCTGGATTATATTTATTGCAAATGCATCTGGGTATGTAATGAAAAATCCAGCAAAAGGGAGAATGCACAGCAAAAATAATAAATGTATTTATTATCACCAAGAAGGCTCAGTGATTGACTGTTCTCCACACGACTTGTTCAGTCGAAAGCGTGTTGAAGTGGTATAGGTACAGGTGTATTCATACAAATAACACAAACATCAGCTTGCACCCCCCTCTTGATGTATGTCATAAACCTTGAGTAATAGTATAAGGCTAGAATGTGTGAGAAATGATAAGATGCATCTACTTTTTTCACAGAGCAAGCAAGTAATACACACCATTGACTGACAGCCAAAAACTGCATTTCAACATCACATGGTGGCATCTGAGAAACCACAGGTCCTTAAATAAATTATATTTGAAAGTATAGTAGGCGTATGTATAGTACTTTAAATGTGTGCAACAACAGTCAAATAAAAAAAGACCAAACATAGAGGCACAATGCCCAAGTTGTGTTGCTTTCTTTTATCATGTATAGATATTTATATTGTATTTATTTACCATTTATCCTCAATGTCTGTACACTTGCTTTTAGAAAATGTATTCAAATGTTTAACAAATGTCCATTTTTCTTTCATTTTTAAAAATATGCCAAATGAGCCACAACATAATAATACAGGACCTGCTTTGGTACATTTCTGTACTAATTAAAAAGTGTAAATAAACCAATCCAGTTGATACAGGTACTATACTTATAGGCGCCACAGAGGTCTGCCTCCACACTTTCTGACCGGTGATGCAGACTTACTTTTATAAATGGTAGTTATGTAACTAATACACTTGATTCTCTAATGAAAATCACCATGGCAACAATATCTATGGGCATGGTAATTTGCCTATTGATGAACCAAGTGCTTAGATTTGAAAGTTATAGCCTCCAAATCATATAGGCTACTAATGTTGTTGATTTTTACGTGAAATAAGTTAGCGTAATGTTGAACTAGCCTCTGCTGTTGACGTGGAGCTGCCTCACCTCACCTACCAGGAAGTGATTGGTTTGACACACAGCAAGGAGGAAACTAAAGCAGCCAGAGTTGCACACTTTGGAGAAAGGTGAGTAAACAAAACCCATGTGGAAGTGAAAATCAATGTGGTACCGCACTTTCTCTCAAGTTAAAGTTAACCAAAATGACGAAATGATACCGGAATTCATGAGTCAGTTGTTAGTGTTATCGTGCAGAGACGTAGCACGGGTTGTAAAAGACGCTACCGCCTTAAAAACAGTTTGCGAGTTATTAATGGCGGTCCCTTTGGTATGTGTCCAAATTAATACACTATATATTTAACGTTTTGTTTTTCAAAAGTATAACATTATTGCATTACACGGAGAATGAGTTAATTTTTCCCTACGGTCGGAAGCTTACTGTTTGACATGAAGCTGGTTAATATTAGTTCTCTATTTACAGAAACATATAAATGAGGAAGTAGGCTTATTGTAGTTTTGTCCTTGTTGCAGGTTCAGGTCAAAGCAGCCTGTGATGTTGAAATGAAGTTTGATGAAAAAGTGATCAGCTATTTTGAATCTTGCACCTCACCAGTGGACAAAGAAGGATATCTCTCCAAGAAGGTATGACACTTTAGTAAAACAAATACCCACATTTTTGTGTGCCTTTTTTTTTTAAATCATTAACTAAAGTTCAATAAGGTTTTAAAAAAAAAAACACCCATCAATAAACACTTTGAAACATTAGCTTCGTAACTTTATTTGTAGGCACCTTTCTGGTAAAGTGCTTTACACAGGGGACAACATATATTGCTAAACTTTAAAAATGTAAAAAAAAAGAACAATGAAATCACATAAAGCGCTTGAATTTATTTTTGAATGCTTTTAATCAATACAGCTTTCAAAACAATGCCATATTTCAAATTTCTAGGCACATGTAAACAAGATAAATCTACTTTTGGGGGAGATTTCATAAAACAATCTGGAACTTTTAACTTCCCTGTTGGCTTCTTATTTCCTCACACTGTTATGCAAGAAATTGAGTAAGTAAGCTATTTGTAAACGAGTCAGTAAGCTGCAGATGTCACAATTGTCTCACAGGGCGAAATAAAGACTTCCTATCACAAGCGCTGGTGTGTACTGAAGGGGAACCTCCTCTTCTACAAGGACCGGCCGGCGGACCGGGACCTGACAGGCGTGATTGTTCTGGAGGGCTGCACTGTCCAGCTGTGCGAGTCCGAGGAACAGTTTGCCTTCTCGCTGGTGTGGAGCGATCCGGGCCTGCGGACGTACAAGTTTGCTGCCGAGGACCAGGCGAGTCAGGAGAGCTGGATCAAAGCCCTGCTGTCGGCCAACCACAACTACCTGACCCTGCTGGTGATGGACCTGGAGAAGAAGTACAGAGGTGAGAGGCAGAGTGTGTGTCTTTGTGTCTTGAGGAGTGAGTGAAAGAGAGCTGCCTTTGTTCTGGAGAGCAGCTTCTCTGTTTACAGCCTCCACATAACAATGCATGTACGTTGTGGTCAATAATATGCAAACATTATAAACTCATAAGGTCCGTCCGTCAGCAGGGAAGGGTCAGGTTACTTTGAAATGTACAGTTACTTATTATAGATTACATGTTGATCTTTTAACATGAGTAATTTATTCCACTGCTGAAAAAAAGTAAACAAACTTGAGTACTTTCGGATTACTTCAATGAAAAGAGTGCACCTTATATTAAAAGAATTAAAGCAGTTACAGAAATTTGAGTTCCACTATTATCCTTTTTTATTAATTTAGTTAGTTTTAGTTATTATTTACAGTTTGGTACAGAACAGTAAGGCCAGTCTTTTGATTTTGCAGCCTTGCCAGTAATAAAGTTTCCTCTAAAATACAAGATACCACAATAAACAAACACAACTCCTCTACAAAAATAGCACAGTGTAGTGTAAGCAGCTAATGTGTCGCTTGTGTATTTATCTGTTTGTCTTTGCTCTTTTCTCAGATGCATTAGTCGAGTTCCCCAATGAACCAACCAACCCTTTCACCATGCCAAATTTCAATACAGCAGAAGCCTTTCAGGGCGCACAGTCTTCAGCGGTACCTTCGTTTCCAGCTGCAGGTGTAGCAGCGGGAGCCGGTCTGAGCTCCAATCAGATGCTCCAAGCTCCGACCCTTTCCTCCAGATCAGCCAATAAAAGATCTCCAAAACTGTGGCCTAAGAGGAGTGCGAATGTGGTGCCTGTGAACACTCCTGCTGCAGCGGTAGGGGAGTGGTTAGGGGTCTGTTTAAGCACCAAGGACGAATTTATCCAATTACATGAGGATTTTGGAAAAGAGGTGAAGGAACTGATTGCTGATTGGTCAAAAAGGGGACGAGGTGAAGAAGCAGCTGGGGTTGAAAACTTAATTGATTTCGGATAAGTGTGAAGTGCATACAGTGTAAACCTTAACATTTGATTTTAATGTGTGTTTGCATTGCAAAGGTTTTATGTAAATAGGTTTTAGAGCTGCAACAATTTTTGTTTAGATATATTTGTTGTTTAAGGGCTTATTTTTTTACTTATATCATAGTCAATAAATGATTTCTACTGTTCTGTGGTGTTGTTGCTTTAACACATACTGAAAATGTGGCCTCTATCTAATTGATCTATATATGTAATCTAAAGTCCTTATTGTGTACATACATCTTCCTTTATAAGTCGTTGAACTAAGAACAATACCAGACAAGTTTAATGTTATATGATAGTAGAA